AAAGATATAGCCCTTATTTCCAAAATCCAGTATCAATAACAGAATCAAGGCAAAACTCTAAGCACAGTCATACTTTATAATTGTACTTTAAAAGTCTATTTCATTCCACAATAAATTAGTTTTCAGATTCGGAAAAAAAAAAAACAAACATGCAGTACTTTTTATTCTGCTATTAAAGTCCCAAATTCATAACTCTGAGAACAATTTCATTATTGGATATATTATATAATACAGTACAAAGTTTACTGCTGTTCCAAGTAATTATTTCCACATTTTCACTGAAAATAACTAAATCTGTGTGGACAACATTCATTTTTCCTGGTATAATTAAAAATTTTAGCCGCTTATTCTGCTGGAATGATGGAGGATGGCTGTGAAAGCAGAGTTCTACAATATTTACTTTCGTGAGGTTCAAACCTCATTTTCACAAACTGATGTTTCTGAAAACAAAAATAAGACGTGATGTGTGGTTCCAGCTGCGGCAATACAGCAGTACACCCGATTCTTTTCTCGACCCTAAGCAAAACCCAGCTAACGCTTCAAAAAATCTCCAAGCCACACTGCCGCTGACACAATCTACTGCTTACACCTCTTACCCCAGCTACTTAGACCAAGCTGACTATTTCCCTTCAGCAGCAGCCATGCAGTACACACATTCCCTGGTTCTCTTCAGGCTCTGTAAGGAGCACAAAGCCTAACAATGCACAGCTGTCTCCAATACTTCTTCTCCAACAGAGCGGCTGCTAACCCGGGATTTTGCGTGACCGAAGGTAGGACTGCAGCGTGCGTATACATACTGCACATCAAGGAAGCCCAACCTATCTCCCTTCAAAACGTACATTGGCTTGTCATTCAACGAGCACAATCACGAAGTATCACCAAGCTCAGAAGCTAAATTTCAGAGTCCCAGAGAAGCTGTAACTGCAAGACTGCTCTCCCAGAACAGCACCTGACACACAAACTTCACTTACAGTGAAGTATCTGCTGAAATTGTGCAAAAAAAAACCAGCCCTTCAAGCAACTAGCTTGCAGATGTCTGTGATGAAAACAGTACTAAAGAGATGGTGTTTGTTTCCTGAATTTTGATTAATTCAGAATACATTCTGACCAGTGGTATGGGTTTTCCACTTTTTCAATCTTGAATATGCAGGTGCAATCAGAGATCTGCCTTATCTGTGGCCAAAGACTGCTATGTCCACTGATCTTTCTTTGAGAACAACAAGCCTGAGAAGCTGCGTCTTGTGGCAGTGAAGTACAAGAGCTCGAGGCAGGAAAGAAACCCACACTTAAGAAAAGGCACACTTTTCCTGAGATCACTCAAGGGTGTTAATCTTCAAGGACCTCCTGTCAAGAAAGGAAGGATCCTGTTAGAACCTTTCTAAAGATTATGGGATCCCGCTCTTCTTGGAGACGAACAAGAAAAATGGCTAATAAAACACAAGGAAAAGATCTACCTAAGCAGGTCCCATTCGTCAGTCCTTTAGCATTCACTCAGCTGCTACCTTCTCTGCAGATGGACTGATGGTTATGCTAAGTCAATCTGAATAAGAGCAGACTTAGAAGCTAGAAGGAATGCCTTGTCTCCCTGCAGACCTTGCTGTGCTGCACACAGAGTGGGTAAACCCTGTCAAGACATCTGTCATTGATGCAAAAGAAACCCAGCTTGCTCCTTCAGCTATACTAATGAGGTACTCATTGCTATGAGTGCATTTGTTGCTATAGTTGCAGAGATGACTGAATAAAAATAGGAAAAAGATCTTTTGGGCAAAGCAATACTATTTTTAAATAGTCCTCTTTCAGAACAGGGCAATCCTTCAAAACAACAGTCTATTCTGACCGCATATAATGAAAAAATCTGGTCATGAAGTTGTGATGAATATGAAGATGTAAACCCTGTTTCATTATACTAAGGAAGTGTTACAGGAATCACACTTACCTAGTTCACAGAGATAATGAAACAAAAAAAAAAAGTATTTTTTGAGGTAAATAAGAGCAACTATAATTCTTAGTCTACATGTTATTCTTTCAAGAATATATTTTTATGGATACTATTCTTTTGAGCAGATACAGATTTGAAATATATTTTGAACATATGATGATTTCCCTTAAGTGTTTACCAATACTGCCTTAAATAAAACTCCACGTCAGTACTGGTAGTACTACCTAAAACTCCTTACAGTTATCATAGGGCACACAAACAATTCTTAAATATTGACATAAAACTTACTTATTGAAAACAACGATCAGATATAAAGCCTCACTAGAAGTTTTCCATTATAACAGTAGTATAATGAACTTGTTTCATCAGAGAACAGTCACTTTAAATCAGGACAAGGATTGCTTAAAACCTGTAACTTACGTTGTACAAAAAGAAAATTTAAAAACCTGTGGTTATTTCAAATCCCAAATGCAGAAAGCTTTTATAGTCTGCCCTGATTGCCATTTAAAAAAAACACTCCAAAACCAAACCAAAGAAAAACAACAACAAAAAAATCATATAACCCCACCAAACCCACATACCCCAGTAAATTAAAAGCATATAGGCACTCTTATCTCAAAGATGTTTTTAAGGTGGTGATAACGCATTAGGGTGAGGATTTATTGACTGAACTGCATTTGCAACATAATAACCGCAAATGCTGGCTGCAATGTCCTTAAGGTTTTACCTGGTACTGTAGACTTACTGATATCTTCAAATACTGTTTTTTAAAAGCCTGAAATATGTAACAAAAAGCAAAGAGATAACTATGCTTCGCACTTTCAGATGCCCTGCTCTCTCAAACTGCCTAAGTCACCACTGTTTCTGTTCCAAGGGCATACTCCTCACTCACAAAAAAAGCAGCAAAACTCTCAGAGAAAAATGAACCCTCAGAGAAAGCAAATGTGCTATACAACTGTACTGCATTTGAGTACAATAATATACAATACAGCCATTGAGTATTACTCACTGTAACTGAGGGGAAAGCAGACAAAAAGAGGCCTAGTTAAAAACACTCTCATCGTTCAAAACATATAGTTTAATAAAACCCAGAATATTATTCCTACTTGCTTCATTTTCCTACCAATTTCATCTAATACATGCATAGGTTCGGTAAACCATAAATGCTTGAAATGATTAAAATAAGAGAAATATAACACTGGCTATTTGCTCTGCACTGCCTAGAGACTCTATCCCTCCTGTTCTCTGTGTGTATCTCCAGCTGATGCATACAGGAATATTATTCACAAAACTGAAGAAAATTTGCCAGAAAACTGCTTTATTCCATAATTCACAAGTTAATCAAACCTGGTGGCAAAGACAAGGACAAAATAAAGAAACATTGTCTAAGCATTAGTGTCAAAAGCAATTATAAGTCTCTTATGAAGCAAATTCTGGCCATGTATGGCTTTTTTTTTTTTCCCTCACCAATATATTTGATGCTTTACTGTGGGGTAATAAGACAGTCAATGTCTTAAAGAGTTTATGCTCAGAGCTTTGAGAAAGGCAGAGAAAGACCAGTAAAAAGCATCATTTCATTGCTGACTTTAAGAAGTATAGCAGTCAGAATTGTTAAAATCCAATACATTGGAAAGCACACAGACAATTCAGAAATCTCTTTTAGACAGGAAAAAAAAAAAACCATTGAGCATAAATATAACTTCCTACGTTTTGGGAAGCAGATGATTACTTCAATAGTCATGTGCTTGCAGGCAATTAGATTTAACTAGCATGAGATTTGTTTACAGATGTGTTCTACCTAGAATTTTTTCTAGGAATGCTTCCAACCATGTTCTTCCTGTGATTTTTAAATGAGGTTAAATAACCTGGAGCTTCAGAACAATTTAGGAAACTATAAATTTATGTAAGAAACCAATTTTTAAGGCACTTTCCTTTTTGTTCTGGTTTCTTTTAATTTCGAGCTCGAAATTATGTGTCCTAGACAAACAGCCTTTTTCCCCTCATGAAAAATTTACTTCAATTAAGATGTTGATCTTAAATAGACAATCCAAAAATACAACAACACAAACCCAGAGAAGTGATCAAAACATTTTATAGTGCTTTATCCACACAAACTTCTCATAGAATTGTTCAAGACTTCAACTTTCTGAAGAATGCTACTCTCTGCCAGGTCTTTTTGAAAGTCCAGCTTATGTCTTCTCTTTTTATTTGCTTTTCAACCACTCTTGGTTAGACAAAATACCATTACTGTTTCTCTTGGGGTGAGATTCATTACCTGCTACAGGCTCAAAGAAATGACAAAAGCAAATGGTAGCCGACAATTTGATGTTCATTGCTCTGTGTTGATGAGACACAGGACTACTTCCAACAGCAGTGCTGAGAAAAATGGGTTTCTCTAGAAGAAAGTATTATCCAGGAGCCATTTAATTCACAGAAGAGAATAAAAGTGTTTTACAGAATGTTAGTATACGACTATACTCAAGAAAAGAGGGCACAATTAAAGACAGGAACTTGTATATATACTTGCAAGTCATACGCATTACTTCAGAAGACATAGGGCAGTATTTTAATAAGTAAAATGTGGATACGTTAACAAGAATAGGGTCTTAGTAATCACTGCTGAACATGAAGTGGGAGTTCAAGCACAACTCGTGACTCTCATACTATGGCCATACGGGGACTGGAAGCAAGAACAACATTATATTCTTACCCACAAAGGAGGACAGTGCAAACAACATTGCCCTCAGACATTCCCTCGAGCTCAGAGAAATTTCAGTCCTAAAGCTATTAACTTCTATGTCATCATTCAAGATTACGAAACTAAAGAATTAGGTTTTGCCTAAGTCCAAGTTTTAAATATGGAAATAGAAATTCAGAAGGAATAGGTAGCCTAAAAACACTTCTCGGAGTATCCTAAACTGCCAGTCACCCCCCAAGTACTGCTGAACACTCGGTGAGCAGAGGAACACGCTGGAAGCTCAAAAAGCTGAGGGCAAACCTATACCCAACACTGCTTTGCTGCCTTCAGCGCCACAACATAAACAACTGAAATCCAGTTTACCTTTCTTGAAGCGTAGATGTCGAAAAATGGTTTGTTTCGAACACTGAATGGTTCCTGTGCTTTGTCGATAAGACCATTCTTCATCTTTTCGTGTCGTGGAAATATAATCTCTTTCTCTATACATGCAAGTCGAACATTAAAATCACAGTCTCCAACAGGCTGTCCCTGCCAAGTTACAAAAATCAGTATTAAAACCAAACACCGAATTATCTGAACAGTCCAAGTTTTCCTTACACAATATTTAGAATCATGTAGTGATTTGATAATATTTTTACATATCTATATGTTTTTGCCAAATACTTGGTTTTCAAGCATTTGTCTTGGGCTTTAAGAGATTTAATCAAATCAAAGTCCATACAAAGATAAAAAGCTATAATACGTATTCAAGCACGTATGAGTTAAATACCTAAATATCTTTGAAGTTAAGCAAAATAATTTAAAGATTCATTAATTATAGCTTTGGATGTAGCAGCTACACACTTTTCCATATAGTTTTCCTTTGAAATTATTTAGCTCATTTTGTTTATAATACTTTTAATGACAATGCAACAATGTGATTTACACAGTTATGCAAACTCATTGCTTTAAAGGCACTATATTGATGCCTTGAAAGAAGCATTAATTACATAAACGTTCACTTTTCTGTCATAGAAAAGAGAAAAATATAGCTGCAGTTGGAAAACGTGCCAATAAACAGTGGCTGCAAAAACCTGAAAGATATGTGATGGCTCTATCATAAAAAGATAGTAAAAGCCCTTCTCTAAGTCCATTATCGTACTCTGACCTTTCAAGATCTGAAATAAAACAGCAGCTTTACATTGCTCTTCATACACTTGGAGCATTGCACCAAATCAGTGTTAGCATTGAAAATGCACATTTGTCAGATTAATAATTGCTTGTAATGGAGTTTATTATATTTTGCGTATTAGATAGTGAGGAGAACACACTGTGGATATCGCCAAGAGAAAATAAGCAACTGGCAGCTTATAAATTCTAAAGTTAGTTTCAATCAGACATCCCACTTTCATCACAGTAAGGCACAAAACTCCTAGATTTGCATTGTTACAAGCAGCATACAGCACTGGAAGTAATTTACATGAGATCATCCCTCATTTTGCCACCCCATTCACATAAAAAATTATTTTGAAAAATCGTCCCTTTCACAGTCCACAGCAAATAAGCTCACAGAGCTTTGGCTTCAAAACAAGATTTCAAAAGTTGAAAGCAACAAGCACAGGAAACTGGGAAGATATGGAACTCTAAGCATCAATGACAGCAGTACAGATGAGGAGGAGAACCAGCAAGAAGATCTTTCCTGTACTAAACACAGCTAGAAGAGAAATGGGAAGAGAATCTGAAAGGAAAAGCACCCCGCTCTAACGTGCATCAAAGAGAATTGAAACTGGTCAATCTGAAAGAATGCAAAGGAAATAAATGGCAAACTGACATCCTGATGAGGCGTCCAAAGGCAAGAGACAGAATGAGCAGTATCTGAACAGATATCCTAATTAGGGGAAAAACTGAATGCCAATTTTAGACCAGCAGAGTTTAATCAAGTTCTTTCCAAATTCATCCTGGCTTTCATGAGGGTCTTCTGCATTTCATGCTCCCAAAGGGGCATTAAGTTTCTCTTACATTTCTTTCCTAGCATTAGATCCTTACTAGACCTCTATCAAAAGTCCTCAGCTGTTTATTGCAACAGCTTTAAGAACTATGCATTGCTCCCACACCACATGTACACCACACCGCTTTCTTACAGGACTCGGCTTCAGTCTAGAGGAGGAGAGGCAGCACGTGGAGCCACCACCGCTTGTGGGGGAAGCACATTCTGCACAAAGCCAGTGGTAACACGGATGAACACCTCCGCATCTCTGCTCATCGACTCACACTTGTGAAGAAGAACAAAGCCTACGGGGCTGCTACCTTTGCCTTCACTGTTGCTTTTCCTTCATATATGAAGGTGTTATTAGTAAAGAGCCTTTCAAATTATTGGAAAAATCGGAGTATGTAAAAGTCCGAGGAGCAGGAGAGTGGCTCACTCGTTATTCATTCATTACAGAACACGGCTGCGTGATCTACAGATTTTTAAGTGTAATAGACAAAACTCAGGGTAACTGTTTTCTTTCTTTCTTTCCCCATGTAGAACTCATCTATACAGTGATTGAGCTTGTCCTGGTTTGTATATCTAATTAAAACACAGAAAACACATCTTGACCTCTGTAACGACAGACTGAAGAACTGATGGAAGAAATCTATCCTGGGAAACATGTATACATAAACTGTTCCCTACATTAAATTTCAGCAACATCCGGTACACATGCTCTCTTCTTTACTGTAGCTTTTCCAGTCAGCCACATTTTATAAGTAGGTCTGAAAGAGCAAATGAACTAATTAATATTTCAAATAGTTCAGCTTCCAATAAGCAGTAAAGTTATTTACAAAGTTTCTTTACAATGATTCATTCAAAACTGCTTTAGCATAGTGACTTTAATTTATTTCAATCCCTTAATGGTTAAATTAAAAGCTGAGATGACTTCGTATGCACCATAAACCAGCTGAATCATTTTCTTTTCCTTTAAATAATCCTTTCACTTCTCCCATCTACTTGGAACTAATTATTTCCTGCAGCTCTGCCAATCATATATTTTTATTTCAAAGCTTGTTAAGCAGACGGGTATATTACCACTAGGTTCCACCATATAAAGGTCAGAGCTAGGCTGACATAAGATTATATGAGATGGGAAAACATAGCTAATGCTGCCGAGCAATTTCTTCATCAGCCAAGTAAACTAAGAAGTTAAGGAGTATTTCATTGGCCCAAAAGCACAGGACGTTAGCAATAAGAAAATTAACATAACACTGTATTTAAATCAAGGACATACTGAATAAAAGCAATATTGAGTAGGAGGGCTTTTTCTTTGTTATTAGACACTTGCCATAATTACAACAAAATTTGCCAACACACAATGTATTTATCCCAGACAGATCCAAAACCTTGCAGTGGTAAAATCCTAGCCTTGAGCAAATAAGTAGGAGGGTAATGTAGGCTGTACTAAATAATTTGCAGACTTTGACAAAAGCAGGAAAAAATTATTTAGCATATAAAACACACATTTTAAAGTTGTACAAAAAAAAAAGAAAGACATTGATGGATGTATAATCTAAACCCAGGAAACAAATACTAGTATGTTTTTAGGCAATATAGATGTTCCATTAATTTAACCATTCAGATGTTTGAGATTTTATTTCAATATGTAAGTTTTCACTTGTCTGAGAAGGATGAGGGTCATCACTGACTAACAGCACAGTTACTGGAGTGCATTACATGATAATTCCTGTTCCAGACATTTTTAACCTAAAATAAGTTTGTTAGTAAAGGGTAAAACAAAATTAACAAGTAGCATGTGTTTCCTATCTACCCTAGAAAGTTACACTTCCCCCTCACCGTAATTAAAATGTGTCCTGAAGCAAAATATCGTTTAGATAAGCCTCAAGAGAGGAGTCATCTGTTGAACTAACACCTCTTCCTGGAGCTGATGAATTCTCTTCACCTGTTGAAAGTTTGTGCACTGCACTAAGAGGTCACAGCATGAAGTGGGCTTATAATAGAAGTGACACTTTAAAATGCTGGTTTGATTTTAAACACAATCCTCCACACACACTCAAAACATAAAATGAGATTTCTACCGAGCTTTGAAATCTACCCAGCATTGCACATTTCTAAATTTAAACTTACATTATTTCAAATTAATTTCCCAGAAGCCGCCATACACAATAAATCACGTAAGAACCTAGCGCACCACAAAAAGAAATACATCTTTAAAAGTACTAAAACACAGGGTCTGTAGCTCGTTTAATATGCATTGTCTTGAAGCGGATAGGGGAAGGCAGTTTATTTGCTGAAAGGAGCTAAAAGAAAAGAAAAAAAACCAACCACCAAACCCCAAAATCACAGTCCCAGCAACACTCCTCCAGATGGGTGCTGAGAGACTGAACTCGGTCAAGTGGCAGGCTGCTCTCCTGTTACAGCTCCTGCCCTCCACCTGGTTCACAGAGACCTGCGTGTTCAAGTCACAACCTCCTGCTGATATGGCTACAAGGGCTGGTGAGTAACTCAAATCCCAAGTCACTAAATAGAGGAAGATGGCAGGAACGACTAAGACGGGTGTAAGAGGATAACGGGATTTCTGCTGCACACCCTTCCTCAGTTCCCTTTCTCTCCACAAGGAGAAAAGTACCCCTGAAGAGCTACCGTCACCCTCCAGGTTTAAGTCTCCCTTCCCCTGCCTCTAAGGTGGCCTTGTGGTACAGCTTGGTAAATTCGGTGAGACTTACGTGGGCAGTCCTTTATCTAGACAGATGCAGTACAGATAACAAAATGGAGTATGTAGGTGCTAAATGCCGTTACAGTACTTCCTCTTAGAATCTGATATTTATTCGGCTTTTTGCCAGTGCAGCTACAGTAAAAAGAAAAATAATGCCTGGGCCTGTGCACACAGCTGATAAACTAGCTTGGGCCAAGACAAACTGAGACTATTTATTCTCTACCTCCATGAGATACGGTACGAAGCCTACCTGCCAGCAAAGCGCGCTCCATTTGCTCCCCCAGAGCAGTAACTTCGACATGAATAATTCAGCATACACACACATATACGTTCCACGCACGTCTTCACTTATTGAGCCATAGCGGAACATATGTCAGAACTGTCTTAGCTTTCATGATTTTGAGAGAAGAATAAAGAATAAGCTCAGGCTGATATTCTACCCTGTGTTTCACATTATTATTGACAATACAAGGCACCCACAGCTGACATCTGCATTTCCAGCAAAAGCCCATTATTAGTTCTCCCATCTTCTGAAGACCATGCAGTCTAATATTTTGCATTTTATGGTATTGGTCTGGCACATATTTCTCCTGACCGTGGTTTTACAAATGCTGCTATTTTTTTGATATACACAGTTTTTATATAAAAAACAATCCAAAGGTACAGTTTCATTCTCCAAATAGGATTATTACTATATTCAATCACCTAAAAGGTTTTTTTTCATTTCCGATTAAGTTTTCTTTTCAAAACAGGATTAAAAGCAAAGTATTAGAGAAATGGAAAAAGATTGTAGAATTATGACTCTTAAGTTTTTCATTTCTAAAAGGCAAAAGCTAAGAC